AAAAAAAAGCACTCTGGCCAGGCGCAGTGGCTCACGCCTATAATCCCAGCACTTTGGGAAGCCAAGGCGGGTGGATTGCTTGAGCTCAGGAGTTCGAGAACAGCCTGGGCAACACAGTGAAACCCTGTCTCTACTTAAAAAACAAAAAATAAGCCAGGCATGACAGCGTGCGCCTGTAGTCCCTGCTACTCAAGAGGCTGAGGCAGAAGAATTGCAAGAACCCAGAAGGCAGAGGTTGCAGTGAGCCGAGATCGCACCACTGCACTCCAGCCTGGGTGACAGAGTGAGACTCCACATCAAAAAAAAAAAAAAGCAAAAAAAAAAAAAAAAAAAGCAGCACTCTAAGCTGCCCATCACCCGTCCACACCACACAACCCCCCATCTGCCGCTGCCCCGCCTGCTCCGTCACACCGCTGCATTCGTTCCCTCCTAGCAGCTTCTCTGCAGTGGTCATGTCTACGTGTACATTGCTCCCAACCAGAAGCACATCTCCTTGAGCATAGGCACCTGTTCTGTCTTGTCCCCACCATTTCACCAGGGTCCAAGGCAGTGCCCAAGAAACAGTCCAAGCTCAATAAACACTTGTCAAGTGAATAAAGACCCGAAAGCTGATCATATTTTGTCACCTTTATGATCCTTACCATTGTCTGATGGAAGCCTGTTACGAGTGATGAGGCTGGATGTGGCTCTCCTGTGATGAGAATGTAAATTCAGGAGACCAGAAGCTTCACCTCCGTTCCTGTTGTAACTCTGGCGCCCAGTGCAGTGCCAGGCACAGGGGAGACCATTAACAAATCATTGCTGGATACTGAATGACTGTTGGTGAAATTTTATCATTATATCAAATTCTTCAAAATAGAGATTAATATTTTTTGTATTTTTAGTAGAGACAGGGTTTCACCATGTTGGTCAGGCTGGTCTTGAACTCCTGACCTCATGTGATCCACCCATCTCGGCCTCCCAAACTGCTGTGATTATAGACGTGAGCCACTGCACCCAGCCAAGACACAGTTCTTTTACTTCCCACTCTGCACAGGAAGTTTGTTCAGAGGGAGCAGCCAGGATGAAAACTTTAGCAAGCCCCCGACTTTCCTATGTACTCTCAGGTAATAAGCAATTGCTCTAATTACCAAACACAGCCTCTTTAATAACTTCCTAGTTTTACAGACAGTGTCTCGCTTTGTCACTCTGTTGCTCAGAATGAAGAACAATGGCGAAATCATAGCTCACTGCGGCCATGAACTCCTGAGCTCAGGCAATCCTCCTACCTCAGCCTCTCTAGAAGCTGAGATTACAGGTGCATGCCACCATGCTCAGCAGTTTTTAAATTTTTTGTAGAGACAGGGTCTTGCTGTGTTACCCAGGGCGGTCTCAAATTCCTGGCCTCAAGTGATCCGCCCATCTCTGTCTCCCAAAATCTTGGGATTACAGGTATGAGCCACCATGCCTGGCCCAAACGTAATCTTAATTCAGAAACCCAGCCCAAGAAATTTCTCTTACCTGGTACTGCTCTCTCTCCTGCCTCCAAGCCATCGCCCAGCTCCCCAGCCAGTTTTTGCCCCTGCAGTAGGAAGATGGGCAGTAACAAGTGGTAAGGAGATAGATAAGGTCCTAAACTGGAAGCTTCCAAAACTAGTTTCACACTGTCCAGGACATACATGGTGAAAAAAGGGCTATCATTCCTCACTCCTTCCTGAATCTGTGCCCTTTGCACATGACCTTACTATTGTTCGCGCTAAAGAGCCGGAGTTGATTTTCCTACCCACTAAATCTGGGCTGGCCTTGTGACTTGCTTCAGCTGATAGAGTGCTGTGGAAGGAGCGTTAGGAGAAATGCCTAATGTAGATGACGGGGTGATGGATGCAGCAAACCACCGTGGCACACGTGTACCTATGTAACAAACCTGCACATTCTGCACGTGTACCCCAGAACTTAAAGTATAATAAAAAATAAATAATCATAAATAAATTAATAAGCAAATAGATAATGCTGTGGAAACGGTGGCCTTCCAATGCCAAGCCCAGGCCTCAAGAGATCTCACATAATTCTGCCGACTGTCATGATCTACAGTGAATACCAGGCTAGCCTGCTGGAGGATGAAATGCCACATGCAACCAACCAAGTCACTCCAGCCAAGGCCAGCCTCAACCAGCCCTGTCTCAGACAACTTGCCAGCAGACAAGAAAAGAGACACGGAAGAGCCCGGCCTAGTCCAGCCCAGATCAACACAGTCCAGTGGACAAGCCAGTTACCACAGACTTTGTAATGGTCTGGAGCCGTTACGCACCCTCATGGTGGCAATAAATAATGGCTACACTCCTGTTCTGGCAAATGTTCAACGCTGATTCTCTTCTGAGGCTCCTCCATGAACTCTTCCAAGAGCCCCACTGCTGAAGGCCTCTCTCTGCAACTCTGAAGGTGTGGGGAATTCATATCTTCCTTCAGCTAGCCTCCTGTGATCTCCTCCCTCAGCTGTTTCTCCGGCTTCCGCCCCGCCCTGTCTCTCCCTGTTGAGGTCCCTTCACCCTGCTGGCAGCACTCAAAATAGCTCCGGGCAGGGACAGCTTTCTGCATGAGATCTCAGCGTGATGGGGGATCCCTCCAAAGAACATCCCAGCAAACCCTCCTCCTTCCTTCTTTGGTCCCTTTCTCACTGCCTGGTTGGGATGAGGGTCTAAGAGCCATGGAGATGGTCCTTGAAACTGTCCTCCTTGTAAACGCTGCCGTGAGATCTGGTTTTGGAATTTGCCATCTATTTTATCTTGGCATCACCCTCAAAATATCCGCTTTAACGACTGTTATATCCGAAATAACAGTTCTGCAGAGACAGCCAGCCTGCATTTTTCTGAATTACATGAGAGAGAAAAACGTAGGTCCAGGTGCCATGTTTTCCCACCTTACA